TCCCCAACCATTGAAACTCATATTGTGGTCATAGCCCAATTACTCTCTCTCAACCCAAACTGTCCTAGAAGGTTATTTTGCAGGGGTGTGTGCGGGTACAATGTGTTATATAAGTTGAGCTCCTGGAAGAAGGCAGGATGTAAATTTCATAAACCATATCATCAAATATATATCATTCTCAGTTAAATAAGGACATATTTTTAATTCATTTCATAAATATAAGTACTATCATATTCATAGCATAATTCCCTGTGTATCTCAGGCAAAAGACTTTGGTGTGATACTGTGTGTCAAAACAGTTACTGCAGGATTAAACAAGGCAGAAGTCTATAATCATATAAAATATGGCTAACACATATAGATAAAGCTTTCAAAGTTTATGTAAAAAATAAACTGTTGGATGTACTTTTAATTTTCTCACTGTATATATAAGGAGGAAGATGGGAGAACCAAATCCAATTGGGCAGCTTAACCTACTTAAGGCCATTTCTGGGATGCTAGGAGGATTCTTACCAAAGGAGCAGGGGATTGTACCAGAAGACTTTTAAAATTCCTTCCCACCCAATAATCCAATTAAAATTTCTAAATTATAATATTAATTTTAAACATACCTATGCCTCCTTTTTTTTCAAGGATGGGGAAAATCAGTTATCAATAAGTGGCCTTTATTGCTGGCAAATTAAGAAGAATCCATCTGTACCTACAGTAAGGACTTCGAAACTCTGAGTATAATAATCAATAAATGATAAGATAGATGACAGTGAAAATAATGCATTTGTTATACACAAACCTGTTTCAGTGATGGGAGTTTGCATTTGGAAGGTTTCTTTGAAGTTCAGGAAAGCCACTAAAGCTAGACCTGTGGTCTGAGAATAATATTTTCTTGTAAATCATGGCCTTATTATTTAAATCACACCTTTATCATTTCAAGCTTAGCTATCTTTTAAAATGTTCATATGCTGTTTCAAATGTCTAAAAACAGTGGGACAAAAAGAAATAACTTAGCCAGCATGGCTCACTGATACCACCTACAGCTATATGAAAAACGAAATCATCTGCTACCAGTCTAAGAAACAAGAAAAAGAGATTCTGGCTGTCAGCAGAGGGGGAAAAAGAAACCCGTACTTTTTAAACCCACAACCCTAAGTTTGTGACTATAAAGGGAAATGCTGACTTTTTTTCCCTGACAGGAAGATACAAAAATATACTCATTGTGAACATTCTTATGGTGCCTTTGCTGACTATCAATCTCCAAGGTTTCACAGGAAAGTATTTACACCTTAAATTCAATATGTACATTGTCAGTTTTCCAGGGCACAGAGGATTAGTTATTTCTATAAATGTAAATGTAGGTGTGACATTGTCAACCTGACTGGAAAATGTAAAAAAAAAAAAAAGCTGTCCTTTTCACACTAACAAGTTAACTGCAAAGAAAATATTGCTGTGCTGAAGTGGCAACTCTGAAGAATGGGGTGGGGGGGGGGAATGAATCCCCCATATGTATGCTATGGGTAATAGATTCTCTTAATGTTCTAGGATAGAATATTAGCTCAAACCATTGGTTATGCCAAGTTATCTCCAATGTAACTCTTATTTGAGAGTGGGAAAAAGATGTGTCAACTGATATGCATGCATAGTATGTGGAAGTGAAGGAAGACTGCAGAGAGTAAAATACATGTGCATAATTACTGTGTGTACAGTTGTTTTTCCATGTCACGTACTTTCAAGAGGATAAAACAACACTGCATAAACTAGTCAACATAAATCCATTGACCATCAATAATGGACAACAGTTCCCCCACTTTCTGGGAGAGACAAGAGACTTGGTCAGAAAAGCAAGGATATTAAAGACATAGACTTTCTGAGGCAGCTAAATGAGAGCCAAAAAAGACAAAGCAGACAAAAGAAAAATAAAGAAATGGGTTTCTCAAATCTCTAGCTTTTAAAAGTATTCAGAAGTCCTCTTTTAAATCCTGCTGTGGCACCTGAGATCATATGAATTCTGAATTATTTGTTTCTCACCAAGGATTATTAATGCCAATCTCTTTGCTCAATATATATTGGCCTTTGTGGCATTCCCTCTACTTATTATTGGCTCTGTAGCTTAAAGAATATGGCAAGTATAATTTGCATCTTTCTTCTTTCATATATTACGAATATAAAATCTAAAAGAAAAGCACACTTTACAAGCAATCATTACACAGAGATATGCACACCCACTCTTCTTGTCTTTGCAAGGCTAAAGGACAGGCGGATACACTATTTACAATATCGGTGCTAAGCAATGCCTCCAAGCAGATGAATGTACACAACTCCTTCAGTTTCCTGACTTCCATTCTAACTCTTCCAGTAAGCAGTATGCAGTTCTAAACCCTGAAGATATGAAATGAAGATCAGCCAAATCAGATCTCATGTTTTTAAATATGCATACATATCCCATTTGCATAGAATGCCACAGCAAAGTTCTAGGTTGACAAGCAAATTTGCCGATAAAAATGGAAGCTGAAAATTCTAGCTTGTCTCTCTTCTCTAGGAATAATAATGTATTTGTTATGGAGTCTGACTTGTAAAAGAAGCAACAGATTAGGATCTGAGACCAAATATAAGACTTAACTTGTGGCTTTTTATCTCAGCAGCTCCTCATGGGCTCATGTCCTTTTTTATTTTCTCTGGAAATTCATAAACATAGTTACTCAATACAAATGTAAAGTAAAGCTATATTAGCTGTGGCTTCTGTGGTTTTCTGTGCTTGTACAAAGCGAAAGAAAATGAGGAGCTGGGTCATTTTTTTGAATTCCTAAATTAGGTTTTGTTCATCTGAATGTGGCCATTCAAACATACTGTATGCAATTCCCCAACCCCAAACAAAACCCATTCATATTTTTTTATCAGAACTACCTGACAATTGTTTTTGGGTGCACAATTATTACTAGATTTAGGTTTGCAACTATGCAGTGTGTGAAAATTGTTTTCTTTGACCTCTGATCCTCTTCTATAAAATGGGGACAGTCATTTTCTGACTGGGCTCTAGAGCTAGGGCATATGAAATAAAAGCTAGTGACAGTAATTCATCTATACAGTAGATGAAATATAAACAATGGCAATGTACAGACATGCATTTATTTTAAAGATATTCATATGAACAGCTCCTTATCAATACATTACTATATGCTTTGTGTAAGAAAACCTGTATCCTGCTTTCTTACTCCCCCCCCCCCCCCCCCCATAATGGCTTCTATCCTGTTTGTTTCAACTGCCTTGTCTCCCAGGGCAATCTAATGCATATTAGAAGATTGACACGCTAAGTTCATTTTATTGCCCTGTATGCATTGCAGGATGGCAGTTCTGGTTTCTGACTGAAAAGGCAATATGCTAGTAGATTTATATCATCATCAATCATCATCATCATCATCATCATCATCAATCATCATCTTGATTGGTTGACTCAGCCTTCCATCCCTCCGAGGTCAGTAAAATGAGGACCCAGATTGTTGGGGGGCAATATGCTGACTCTGTAAACTGCTTAGAGCGGGCCGTAAAGCACTGTGAAGGGGTATATAAGCCTAAGTGCTATTGCAATTTTCATCTTCATCATTACCACCCACTTTAACTTTGCTAAAACCTTCAGTTCCACCCCATTTCATAAGATAAATTATTAACAGCTAGAAAACACTTTGCTTAACCAGCTACCTGCTGCTTTCATTTATTTATTTATTTATTTATTTTTTTGGGGGGGGAATAAGCTAACGGGAAAAGTGAAATAACCGGATCCTACAAGTTATTTTTTTTACTCCAGGAAGGACGTCTGTCCTCTTGATTGGGAAGAGCTGGCTATAAAGAAGGCTCAGCTCACAAACGGACAAGAGCAAAGCTCGACGAAGAATTAACAACCCCCGTCTCCTCTCTGCGCTCTTTCCAGGCTTCTCCTCTGTCCCACCCTCCTTTCTGCCACCAGTCTGCGCACGCCCAGTGTGGCTCCTCGGACTGAAACGTTTTAGCGCAGGTCCTTCCACAGCTGCCTTTTCCTTCCCGTCCCTAAATTCTGAATCAAGCGGGGTCCCGTGCTTGGCGTTTTCTCTCGTTCTCCCGTTGAGGGGAAAGAGAGAGGGAGAGAACTGGACGGTAAAAGCGCCTGGTCGGAGAGGATTTGGTCTCCCGCTAGCCACCGAGGTGGAAGAGCTGTATAAGAAGACTGTCTGTCTATCTGTTTCTGTCTCTCTTTCTCTCTCTCCCTCTCTCCCTCCCTCTCCCTCCCTCTCTCCCCCTCCCTCCCTCTCTCTCTGCCTCTCCCTCTCCCTCTCTCGCTCCCTCCCTCTCCCACTTTCTCCCTTGCTCCCTCCCTCTCTCTCCCTCCCTCTCCCTCTCGCTCCCTCGCTCCCTCCACTCCCTCTCTCTCCCCCTCTCTCTCCCTCCCCCCCTCTCTCTCCCTCCCTCCCTCTCCCTCTTTCTCTCTCCCGCCCCCTCTCCCTTTTCCCTTTCCCTCTCCCACCACACCCTGTGACCTCTGAGGGCCCTAGAGGTACTCTTGGAGTGGGGGGGGGGACTCCTCTTGAACCCCCAAGCGAAACCATCACTCGACCCTTCCCACCTTCTTTGGTCCCTGCAGCGTTTCTCCCCCGTCTCTCAACTCGTTCCCTCTCGAGCCTTTCTCCCCGCCGCCACCCTAAGAAGCGCCCGGCTGCCCCGGGTCCCCTCTACGCTCCTCTCTTTCTGCCTCCGAGCCCATCCTTTGGCTCTCCCATCCCGCCCGACGCTTGCTCGGCCACTGTCCGGACTTCCTCCCTTTCTTCACTTCCCAGCACCTAAATGCGACGAACGTCTTTCCTCCTCCTCCTCCTCCTCCTCCTGCACTGGCTGGCTGTTAGTGGCATTCCCGGCTCCCCTTCCTTCGGACGTCCCCTCCATGGGTCCTTTATCCGACCGGCTCGCCTGCTGCGGACCGGTGCCCTGCAAAATTCCCCTGGAAAAGGCGGGCGGGCGACGCCTCGGCACTTACTGACCTGCCGGCGTCAGGAGCCGCGGCGGCGCTTCTTCTCTGCCCGCCGAGTCGAAGCGCGGGCTGGCTTAAGGGCTCGGAGAGCGATCCGGGCAGGCACCGAGCGCTCGGGTGCCCATGCACCGAACCGAGCCGAGCCGCTCGCCAAAGGGAGCCTGAGCAGCAGCAGCAGCAGCAGCAGCAGCAGCAGCAACAGCAACAGCAGCGGCGGCGGCACCTCGTGTCAAGCAGGGGTTGCTACTGACATCGCCGTTCCTGCTTTTGCCGCCGCGGTCCTTCGTTGACATGCAAAGCAGCTCGGCGACTTTCAGGAAAAAGGAGAGGAGGAGGAAAGGAGGAGGCGGCGGCGGCGGGGTGGGGGAAGAGGCGACGAAATGGCAAGTCCCACCCCGTCTTCAGCAGGGAGCGCTGCCCTGCCTCGGATGCTTGGGATGCGCCTCCTTGAAGGCGTTCAGGTCCCAGGCACCCTTGGATTCCCTTAGCTTGCCCCTGGCTTTGTCCCCACCCCCACCCCACCCCCGATGGGGGGGGGCTTTAAATTTTGACCCGCGCTTTGGGAGCTGGGTGGGGCTTGCCAAGTTTGGAAACTCCATAGCCACGCCCACAAAACACTTCCTTCTGCTAGATGTCTCCCAGAATGTGGAATGAGCCTCTCTGGCTTGGAGTAAGTAAAGCATTCCTGGGTAGGTTTTCTAATCTAAACAATTATATATGGAAGTGGTTTTGCAATGGCTTTTCTTTTTCGACTTCTTAATATGCAGGTGGTCCTCGACTTACAACACTTCGTTTAGTGACCAGAGTTATAACGACACTGAAGAAAGTGACTTATGACCATTTTTCACATTGATGACTGTTGCAGCATCCCCATGCTGGTCACACGATCAGAATTCAGATGCTTGGCAACTGGTTCATATTTATGACGGTTGCATTATCCTCAGATCATGGGATTCCCCCCTTTAAAAACCTTCTGACAAGCAAAAACACAATGGGGAAGCCAGATTCACTTAACAAGTATTTTATCAACTTGCAGTGTTTCACTTAACAAATGTGTCAAGAGAAGTAGTAGAATGGGGCAAAACACACTTTCACACATTTCTCACTTAGCAACATAAATGTTGGGCTCCATTGTGGTTGTAAGTCGAGGGCTACCTGCATTGTAGAAGTCTTTATGCTAACCTGGTGGCTTTTGCACGAGACCCACTAAGATCAGCCCTAGTCATCTAAATGCTACCACTTGCTGCTGATGTGACCTGAAGGCTATTCTGTTTAACTCTGAAACCCGTAAACCAAGTGTTTCACACGCTTGGCAACCGTCTCATATTTATGATGGTTGCAGCATCCTGGGATCCATGTGATCCTCTTTTGCAAGCTTCTGACAAGCAGAGTCAATGGGGGAAGCCAGATTTACTTAACAACCATGTGAATTACTTAACATCTGCAGTGATTCACTTAACAACGGTGGCAAGAAAGGTCATAAAATTTGGCCAAACTCATTTAACAACTGTTTCACTTAGCAACAGAAATTTTGAGCTTAATTGTGGTTGTAAGCTAAAGAGCACCTGTATCTGAAAATGAAATTGCCTGGAAATTGCAGGCTTATATGTTAGATTGGAAATCCAAAGAAATATTCTACAGTGGCGAATCACTTCTATGGTATAGTTGTTATAGTGCTTCAGACTCGAAGCTGAAAAGATGCTTGGAGTAGACATAGACTTTCATGTTAATTAATTAATTTAATTTACGTATTGAATTTATATTGCCACCTATTCGCCCATGGCAACTTGAGGCGGCTTACAGAATGTAAAACCATATTTAAAAACAAACAATAAAAACTAATAAAAAGAATCTAATAAATTAATAAAGTACAATAGAACAAAACCTGGAAAAAAATAAATAAAACATCACCTCCAACTCCCACCCCCCACCTCGACGACAAAAGATCACAGGGGCTCCAATCCCACTCTGGGGTCTCCATGTCCTCTGGCAGAACCAGGTCTACAGTGCCTTCCAGAAGAGTATTAGAGAGAGGGCCATTCTAATCTCTGGATGAACAATGGTTACTTGTAATGCTATACTTCTCTACACTTCTTTAAAAAAAGCGATACCTTTTCTTGGAAGTATATGATAGAAACCAAGAGACTGTGAGTTCTAGTCCTGCCTTACACATGAAAGCTGATTGGATAACTTTGTACCAGGCAGCTTTGTAACTTGTGTACCATGATACAAAGTTAGGCGCAGGCGGCAAGCCACGTTAGTCAATTTCTGTTGCAACTATTGGATCAACAATGGGTTGATGCCCCTCCCCCAAAAGCATGCACTTGTGAGAAAATATTAGGAAGGGAAAAAATAACATTTCTTAGAGCAGTCAGCTCAATAAATGATTTAGTATATTGGACACACAGTAAGTACTTTGTCTATTTCATTTTACAGCATTCTTTCAATAAGTAAGATACCTGGTTCAAATCCCATCAGGCGACTTTCTGTTTGTTTTTTTTAATTTACCTTCCATTTTCTAGAAAGTAAATAAAGTTTGCTTACAGCAACAACTAAAGATTAATTATTTTCTTCTACCTTCCCAAATCTGCAAAATATTTAACATTTATGGGAGCTGTTCAGTTGTGCATGATCTGAATGAAAGTCAGAAAAGGAGAGCAATGTTGAATCTCAGCACTGAAATCATTCCCTAGCCTTGGAATCCTTACAGTGAAATCTACTATGGCTTCAATGTAGAAGCATATTTTAAAGTCTGTATCAAGGATAGACATAGAATTGTTGTTTTAAGAAATATATTAATCAAAAAGTATTTTGTAAACAGAATAAATAGAAGTATTAGTAATAGTTACCTATAGCAATTACT